ATGAGAGAAGTTCAGAAATCGTTCTCATTTAGCAATGCCTGTTTTCTCCCACTATTTGCATATCTTTCACGAAAACATACGTACTGAATCCAAACCAGTTTCATGCTTCCAACCTGTGAAAATATCCATACATCCCATCTATCTATTTATATGAGGACTGGCAAAAATGGACTAAATCTCTATTAGAAAAATCAGAATATTGGTGGGGTTTCTTAACATGCAGAGTATCTATAAGTTGACCTCTGTCCTTTGTATTCCTGTCTCATAAAAATGTACACAAAGTAGAAAATAGCACATATTTCTTTGTAAACTTCAAAGAAGTTAAAGTCGTTCTGATGAACATGTACATGTTGCTGTGATGGGAACTAGGGGAAAAATTCCAAACAAAACCTAAACTTAAGCACAGAATTGGGTCCATAATTAAAGGGTTTTTAGAAGAAGTGAATACAGCCTTTCAAACCTTTGCTCTGGTCTTCCATTAGCCTCTCATTCACTTTTCTTCCTACTCAGAAGGTTATGTGATGGTAGAGGGTGAATTACAGAGAGAGGAAGGAAAAGGAAGGGTGAGTAGCTATATCCTTCATCCCTTCCACCTAAGATCTGGCACTCATACATCTCTACAAATGTGTGCCATCAGGGAGCCAGAAGGTTCTGCATTTCCCTGGACAAACTGAGTGCTGGTATATGATTCACTTGTCTCCAAGGTCCTTATTAAAAAAATGAACACCAGGCAAACATTTCTGAAAATCTGTTCTGCATTAAGTTTATTTATTAGACCTGATTTTCCAAGCTGGTACCCTTCAGAGTGTCCTCATCTCTTCATGCAATGCATGGGGCTGATGGGAATAATAGTCCAATCAATCAAGAGGATGCTAGCTTCAACATGCCATGTTGATGATGATGATGATAATGATGGTGATGCACATTTATGGATATTAAATATCAGGATATGACAATTGAGTTATTTGTCAGCCTCTTTTCCTTCATGTGTGTTGGGTTTCAGCTCTTAGAAAGCCCTGACAACATGATGTGATACAGCAGTTTAATTGTGACTTGTCCAAATAGGATTTTCTCTGCACTGTAAGGTAGGAGGAAGATCTATCTTCTTTCAAAGTCTGGAATTGGTTCCCACTCACTTTGGAGTCAACCCACTCTCAGTTCACACTGTCAAAATTTATTCACAGAACTGTAATAAGACTAACAGGATGGTCATATAAATGCCTCTTCAGAGGTACAATGCATAGAAATCAATAGGTCCTACTTCTAGTTGGAGAGGCATAGGACCATGCACTAAATATGTTTAATTCACCTGCAACAGATGTTTACACATGAATGATTTCCATCTAAAGGGTTGGACTGCCTGCCTGCCTGATTTCAAGGTAGATCTTCAAACATGATAATTACTTTAAAATTATTATTGTATGAGTACCCCTTGTCAGAGAAACTAGCTATGAACTCTGGAGATCCACCTGTTTGAAACTCAATCAAAGATGTCTAGGCAGAGGTCATTGGTACCAGATCTGGGGGTACTCTGGAGGATTTTCATATGTGAAAGATGCCCCATCACTATTATTAGCCACAGAGGAATACAATCACATAGCATTCAGATCAATTGGAAGTCAAATCCCATAATGTCAACCCAGATATGCTTTATGTCTTTTTGAGTAAAAAAATGCATTGGATTTGTCAGAAGTACACAGAAGCTTCACAGATCTTAGCAAACAGCTGGAATCATGGTCCACCAAATCACAGAATAGACTGTCAAATTTGCTGATAAGAAGAAATTGAGAGTGATAAATTATTTTATGCTATCCCTAGTATGCCACAAATTTGATAGTGTACTATAAAGTTAATGCTTTTCTACTGTCCAAGGGCAAAGTCCAAAACTGCTAATTAATAAGCAAAAATGCAACACTGAACCATACATTCCTTTACTCTGTCATGACATTCATTCATTTAATAGATAAATTTAATATTCTTGAGCAGTCTGCACATGGCACCTTGGATCTCCTTGTTCCTCAAGGTATAGATAACAGGGTTCATCAAAGGGAAGACTACAGTGTGAAAAAAGGCCATGACCTTGTCAAAAGAGTATTCTTGGAAAGGGTGGCAGTAGATATAGATGGCTGGACCAAACATAATGAGGATGATAATGATGTGAGTGATACAGGTAGAGGAGGCTTTGCTTTTCCCTAGGCTGGAGCCCATTCTTACTTTCAACAACAGGGCCACATAGGATATGAGGAGGAAGATGAAACATGCAATGCTCATTAGGCCACTACTAGCAAACATGATGAATTCTAGAGTGTAGGTATTGGTGCACGCCAATCTGATGATCTGGGTGATATCACAAAAGAAGTTATCCAACCTATTGGGGCCACAGAATGGAAGTGGAATTATGAGAATGACCTGGATGACGGAATGTATGAATCCTCCAATCCATGAAACTACTACCATACCCCAGCAAGTGACTCTGGTTACCACTGTGGCATAGTGCAATGGATGGCAGATGGCTACGTACCGGTCAATAGCCATGGCAATGAGGAGGAACATCTCAGCTCCTCCTAGAAAATGAATGAAAAATATCTGAGTGATACAGGCTGAATAGGAGATTGTCCTGCAACCAGAGATAATGTTGAGAATGAGCTTTGGATGAGTGACAAAGCTGTAGATAATGTCTAGAAAGGCCAGGTTAGCCAAAAAGAAAAACATGGGGGATTCCAAAGAGGAATTCTTCAGAACTGTCACAATTATAAGAATATTCCCAGGGAGGAGGAGGATATAGAAGAGCAGCAGGACAACACAAAAGAATAGCTGTATCTCCCATATTTGTGATATTCCTTGGAGGACAAATTCAGTTACTGCTGAATGACTTCCATTGTCCATCCTTAGACCTGTAGAAGAATAACAGAGGCAATCAGTGCTAATGTTTTCCATATAACATTCAGGTAACTCCAAATATAACACAGCAATAGGTTTGTGACTCCTGGAGATAGTAGTTTTTAATCCCAGGTGGGTATCAGGGTTAGAATCTATCTGGACCATCTGCTTTCCAAAGAACTAGTGACTACTTTATTAGGAGAAAGTCTATCTCAGGTGCCTTTCTCAATCTGATTCCTTCTAGATATAATAGACTTCAACTCCTATGATTTCAAGCTAGTATGATCAAAGCCTGCTTTACAAGACAGCTAGACTGCCACTG